TTTTTTTTTTTTTTTTAGTATCGGTATCGAAATTCATGACTTGGTATCAGTCTCGAAACCTAAATTTTGGTATCAACTGCAAACAGTATTGATACCGAGAACTTTCAAAGACAGACGTTTTCAGGAGGCACTTCTCTTACCAGGTTTTTGGGCAGCTTGGGTTGCGTGTGTGTCTGAGCTTGAGCAGCTTCTGGCTTGGTGCTACGTTGGACGGCTCCTCCAGTAGCAAGATCTGGAAACTCATCTTCATCCTGACAAAGTAGCAAATATTTAAGCACAACAAAATACTAGAATCTAACATAAACTTTTCATGTTAACAGTGAGTCATTCAAATGGAATTCACAAGAAACCTTCTCTGACCTCAAAGTAGAGGGGCTCTGGAGTGAGCTCAGTGCCAGTGACCGCTGCTGGCTGCAGTCTTTGTTCGGACTGGTTGGGTGGCAAACGCCCTGGATAACCATTGTGGAAATCCTGAAAGGCAGAGAACAGAGGAGTCAGACAAGATTCTGCTACTCAACAACCTCTGTGTATTTGATTTGTGCACATAGTGTCTGGTGACTACAACATTGTAGGAGAGGAGACAAACACTGAAGCAAATGATGTCACACAGACAATCCTAGTAGCTTTGTTTAATTGATTACCGCTATGTTTGAGTTAAACTTATAGTTTTATGTAAGACATGTGTGAACTGGTTGTCAGATGATGACATGAATTAGCATCTATAATTAAAGCAAGCAGGGTATTCTTATATTGCACATCACTTTGTAAAGTCAAAACCACAATAGGAAAATGTTCAACTGTTAAACTTCAGTGCTCGTTCACTTCTAATTGTTTTGACACGATTGTCTAAACTGCTGTTTATTTTTTATTTCTTATTCCAACCCCACTATCATCATTTGGACTCTGCTCCCCACAGCTGAATGGTGACTTGCTGTGCGACTTTCAGTCTTTTACTCAGTATCCCCTCCAGTGGGATGCACTGTACCTGTGAGAAGTTCCGCTGTTCAGGATTCTTCCTCTGCTCTGCTCTGTGAAACTGGCCGTTCCTGTCCCCCCAGGACTTTGGTGTCGCCTGAGAGGCTACATTTACCCAGGTGTCTGCTACCAAATAAAAAGAAAAATAACAACTGTCAGGTACAAAAAAGAATTTGTAAGACATTAGATACAGGGTGAATAATAACTATGGCTATGAAAGCATGATGTGAGGATAAGAGGAAAGGAAAGATTTGAACCCCTTGTTCAAACTTACATGTCATGACACCAGCCTCTACTCCCTGTACGACACACAGAAAAACATAGAAAGGGTAGAGTCAAGTTAATATATCTAGTGTATGTTAAACCTGCTAGTAACAATGTGAGGACAAAACTATTTTTAAGGATTAAATCAAACACCAGTTACTGTTGCTCCATAAGTGAAGACTTGTGTGTTGTGGTATGTCCTAGTTGTTCTGACAGGTGGAAATGACAACACTCTTTAAAAGTATTATAAAGAAACGTTCGGGGTGTCTTCTACCCCAGAAATTAAATACAGGCTGTCTGTACTACCTACAATTAGACACACCCAGAAAAAGTCTGGGGTACCATTGGGGCACACCTTTTAAGTCCACCCATCACACAAAACCACACTATTTGCTGCTTAAAGAGCAAAAACTTTACATTTCCAAATCTGTTTGACATCTAAATTATTCGTTTAACTGTTTTTTGCAGGTGAGGGAGGTGCAGGTGGAGGTGTTTAGTTTTCACACTCACAAGGATTTGAATTAATTTTCTCTCTTAACTAATGTCCACATATTCTGTTTTGTGTCTGAATACGTCGCATTACTGAGGCTTTAGATCCCTTTCACTCTACTCCCTGACTTGCTACCTGCCAAACTATCCTTATTTTATGCTTCACGTTTTTAACTGTGAATTTCAGCGTTGAACCAAACCAGAATGAAGACAGTTCTGATCTGAAGCATAAGGTATTTACAGGAATATTAGGCAAAACAATATCTTCAAAATGTGTTTAAACTGGGGCTAAGTAGCTAACATACCGTAGGTGCTGCTGTATGCTCTGTTGTTCGTTGTGTTACCCCAGTGGCCTGGTTGTGTTTGGGGCTACAGTATCCGCTGTCACTGTCTATATCTGCCTCACAGGTGCCCTGCTCGTTGTAGTTCTCAGCTGGATGGGACGCCCGTCTTCTCTTTGTTCGGTTCTTCCACAGCAGAGGACTGGCCCGCTCAGCAGCACATCGCCCTGATACCTCACCTGGGAAATCTGAGGGCAAGGGAGGAGAAACTAGACATGAAGTAAACTTGTTGCACGGTGTGACACATTGGAATAATCCTGCATTTAACATCAAAGTAAGTAAAAAAAAAATTATGCATACTGGAGATTAATCCACAGAGACTCACTGAACTCAGTCTTTGACCTCGAGTTACCTGTATGATGTTTTTCAAGTGACATCATAACCATAACAGCAATACCTAAGGTATTCACACAGGCTCTGGTTTCTCGGAAGCAGAGATGCACGTGTTAACCATTCTGACTGGAAACTCTGCATTCCAGGTCATTCATGAACTTAGGCACAAGCATCATCAACCTGTAAGACCAGACACTGCTCTTATCTGCATTGTGCTTCAATGACAGGAATAATTCTTGTTGAAAGGAAAGGCTGCCAATTTTAACAAAGTCTGATGAATGTTTGCAGCCCGAACTTCCTTTCAGCCACAGGATACAAGAAATAAAACAAAACTTTTTGTCAAAATATTGTACACACCCTACAAAGAGGCACTAAAATGCATATTTACTTGTTGCCACAGTATTTTTACCGGTCTGCTGTGCTGCATCAACCAGCATGACGGTCTTGGTTCTACCATCGGGCCCCAAGGTGCACACCTCCTTCTGCACAGCTACATTCCTTGTTGGAGGCCGACGACCTCTTGAAGGCTGACACACACCCAACTGTTGCTACAGGGGGGGGGGGAAGGCAGGGTTACTCACTAAATAAGCTGAGGATGAAAAGAAATAAATGACCTGATGTAAATGTGACAGTATCACAATAAGGCTGTTGACATTCTGTACCTTTGGGAGAACGTTAGGTCTGACCATGCCTCTCCCCCTCTGACTGGCCATCCCATATGTTGGTCCCAGAGGCAGTGGCCTCTCCCCGACATCTGCTGAGACTGGGTTGATTACTCCAGTTTGCACAGGACCTGTGTAGGTGCCAGGGAAGGGCTGATAGAAGCCCATGACAGGTGGGCAGGGAGCAGGCATAATCTGGTAGTAAGCATACTCGTTGGACACAGGAGGCTGGGGGGAAGACAAGATGGGGTAGGCCAGGTACGGTCCACCGGGGTTAGGGTTAGGCTGCTGCCAGCGCAGCTCCCCTCCATTATACATAGGATGTTGCCTGTAAAGCAATAGAGTTTAAAATTAATTTCGACAAATTTTTCTTGAATACTGGGCTTTGAAAATGACCGTGACGTTCAGGGTGAAAACCCCCCCACACGTTAAGTGTCATTACTAACAGGCATCATGGCATTAAGAAAAACATGATTACAAAATCCTGAATGAAAATCACAGCATTGAGTAAAGGTTTCTTAAACTTTGTGTTACTTATTCAAAACACTTTTTATATTGTATTCTTCTACACAAACACAACAATAATGTGTGGGAGACTTTTTTGTGCTCCACAAAATGATAGTTGATTTAGGAAGACAGAGGTTGTGCCCAACATGTGTGTGATGGTTGGTGAGTTAGGGAGTGACACGTAGTATGGAGAAAGCTTGATAAGGATCCAGATGATATTTTCACAGCCGGTTTACTATAGTGGGTTATTTCCTTGCATTCAAATGGTGGGGAAGGAAACAAAGGAGCGGATGTGTGCAGGATACAGCAGATCACTCTGGACAAAGAAAGAGCCACTGGAAACACAAACTTTGCTTCCATGTAAACTCTGTAACTCTGGGGAGGTTTCCATTCATAATTAAGCAGTCTTAAACAACAGAGCAATCGAATGGCTCTCACTCAGTACACTGTTTAAAGGCTGTGATCGTGATCTCTTCAGTGAGGCCTAACCTCAGGGACACAGCGTTCTCTTCTTCTTATAGTACACAGAGTTATTCTGGAAATAGAATGGTCCAGAAGAGAGAAGATTGTTCTTGGGCAGTTCAAAATGGGGGCACCAGACTTCCCACAATGCTTCAGGGAATGGCTATATTTTTGCCTAAATTGAAAGCATTGGCAAAATCTATTAATATCTTTAACCAGAGTTAATGGAGTAGAAGCGAATGCCACTCATTCCCTAATCTCCCCCTGTGAGAGAAACAGTACCTGTTGGCTTGGTTCTCCTGGACAAAAGGGTAGCAGGTGATGAGGTAGCTTGGTATGGGAGTGGTTTCCACCCCGCCACCACCTCCTCCTCCTCCAATACCTCCGCTGCCTCCTCCACCACTGGCCTCTCCAGAAAGACTCATGCTGACCAGGGTTCCTTCAAGACCTTTCTTCTGTGGGATGAACGGTTCCACTTCGGCTGAAAGCTTCACATCCTGCAAAGAGACAAATGAACAGCCATTAGTATCACACCATGAGCATCGGCAGCCAAATGAATGACTCCGTGGTGCATTTGAGAGAGAATAGGTCTATGGCAAAGAGCACAGAACATCCATCCATTAGCTACACTGCTTATCCGTTGAGGGCTGTGGGGGGGCTGGAGCCAATCACAGCTGACATTAGGAGAAGGAGCACAGATTTGTCAAATTGCTGAAATAAAGTTGCTCACATGAGTCACAACACTCTGCATATGTTTTTTTCAAGACCTTTTTTTACCTTCTCCATATCTATCCACATGAGACAACATATGATAGTATTTTATTATTCTTATCGCCATTTCTTACCTAACAAATGGGACAGTTGTAGGGTGCAGTAATTTGTCTTGGCTTTAGTTAGTCAGATAGTCCTTAAATAAAAATAGGTCTAAAGACAAAACTTTCCAACATCACCTCTCAAATCACTTAAAACAACAACAGCATTGCACAATCTATCTGAGCCCAAGAATGTTTTAGTCCTGAATGACAGACAGGGACAGAGAGAGCTGTACATAGTCTACCAGCCTCTCGTATTTAGTGGCAATCACAGCTGAGCAATGTGTTTCCTCATACTGTTCCAGTTTGTTCAGTCTGCTTACAGATGGTTTAAGTGTCTAGGGCCATCACTAAAAAGAACAAGGACATAAAAACATTTCTGAGTTTATTAAAGGCATAGCACAAAGCATACAACAAGTTCAAGAACATTTTTGGTCATCGATGCGGCTTCATTTTAATATGGTGACATGAGACTCTGTACCTCAAAGCCAAAAGGAGAGAGATTTCATTTTATAAATGGTCAAATCTGCTTAGCTGTAGCTGCACTGAAAACTGATAAGGTGATAGCAGATACATATTTTGTTTGGTAACTTCTCTCTAAGTAACTGACATAAACTGTTGGTTATTTTATCATATGAAGGACTTGGCTGTTTTTTGTTTTTTTTTAATAAACTGGACAGAGACGGAAGACCCTCACATCTACCATATGGAGTTTAAACTATATATATTTATTAATAAATCAACAGTAGTGACCCATTAGAGCAGAGAGTATATTTCTTTCTGAAGCCCTTATAAAGAGTTGCCGGTATCATGGAACTTTGGTGAATCACAACATATCCAATAAAAAAAAAAACATAAATCAGTCAAAAAGCCAAAAACGACAAAGGCACAATAATGGCTTCATTATGTCACTGTGGACTGACTCAAGGTCTTCTTCTATTCAGTCTAGTTTTATGGTTGTCAAGATTTATAGGCTGATCATATCAAGTCAACACTGAAGCTGTTGTGGTGAAACAAATGATACAGCAGACAGAAAGATCAAAGATTAAAGATCAGTTGAGGTTTTGGACTCAAATACAGACGGAACCCAAGCTAAACCAGGGACTTCAGACTACTGTTCTGTAGTAAAGTAGAGACATGGCCTTCAAATTGTTAGGTTATTGCTTATTGATGACACAAACTGGCCAAAGTATTTCCTTCAAGCAAAAATCAAATCAGAAAATGGGCGTTTGTTCTATGTGTACTATATGCAAGATCTGAAAGAATAGCACTTCCCATGTTGCATTACTACATATTTTAAAATAGCAATCCTTCGAAAGTCAAATTATCAACATTAGAGGCCAGGGGATTTATTAGCCCCCAACCGTTACGTATATAGTAATTTATAATAAAGTTCATAGTTTAAGTGTAAAATATCAAGCCTAAATCGCATTTCTTTGTGATAAGAGCTGGACAATGACTTCTTAGAAATCATTATCATTTTTGTATCTATAAATTCGGCGATATATCATCATCACAAATGTTGAACTCCCTAATATCGACATCAGCACCCAAAATCCATATCAGTTGGCCTCTAATCAATATACTATAATGTTTGCTTTAATCTGACACTCCTCACATGGTCTACCCCAAGGTAGCAGCTCTATGCGAGAGCTCCCATTGAAATAATCTACTATTCTGCAAAGGATGAGGAGAGGTGACAGGGTTTAGAGTACAAAGACGCCCCCTCACTTCTGAAACAGTGGTCGGGATGCATGAATAGAGGAACAGTGCGGCCAGTGGATGTCACACAGACAGCTATTGTTTTCCACTGCTACTGACTGTGGGTGGATCCCTGAGTTTTCCTTAGGTGATCTATAGGATCCATCCTACCTAAAAAAAAAAGAAAAAGAAAAAAAAAGGGTGATGGTGAATGGAATCTGTTTTGCCAGTTCAGTAAAAAAGAAGAAACTACAAATATAAATAAAGGTATGTTTAACTCCCAAAGATTAATAACAGCCTCCATGCTTGGACTGATATATGGCTGCTAGGATTTAACGCCACAGCGGTTGGTCTGAACATGTACGATGGTCCAGTATGGCTGATAGGTTGTTATAGGATTATGTTTGAGAGGATAAAGTAGGGACAGTACTAAAGGATAAGCAAATTAAATACCAAGCCACAACATGGAGGCCTCGTGCACAGGTGAATCTTGGATTGTGAACGCTGATGGAGAAATCTGACCATGTAGAGAAATAGATTTTTGAAGAAAGGGGTCAAGTGCGGGTCCTAGGATGAATCTCTTGATTCAACCATGAGTCTTTGTGCATCTCTGTGTCAGTGAGAATAGCTGCGATTGTGAAAAAGACAATGAGGTCAGACCCAGATGTGCATCCGCTGGGTATGACAGAACTCGGGAGAGATTCAACTGGGAGCTACTGATCTCACAAGCCTCTGTTTGTCCAAGCATTTTCACACCAGTTGCTTTCCACCACCACCACCACCTTACACTATGTGCTCCTGTACAACAGCTGCAGGGTGGGCTGTACACGTACAGGACCATGCAGTTGCAGTTTATTGGGAACACCTAGCAAAAAAAAACTACTGCAGTCTGATATAACAGTCCTGATATAACTCCTACCTTCATGGAGGCTGCAGGGTTAAGTTTGAGAGGGGTTGGCACAAATTCATGAACATTTTGGAGGAATGTGATTTTTAATGCGGTTTAATTTTGTGCAAAAATACAAGAATCAACAATAATAAACACAGTTGACATAGTCATCTCCATGCTGCAGAACTGTTGTTGTTACACTGAGCTGGACGTAGTTAATAATCTACCACTTGAGTGTAGATAAGACACGTTTAGGTGCAGCCTGTCCTGTATTTAGACACAGTGATTGATCATGTTGGACGTGAGCCACGACACAAACCGAGCACAACCAAACTTTCTACATTGCGAGCAGCGTCGCAGGAATGTCATACATGCAGAAGAACCAGACATTCCTCCTGTGACGGTCATGAAACCTCTCCGCCCCACTGACACCTCTCTCCTGCTCACATTCCTACCGTGATTGAAACCTCCCTGTCGAGTCTCCCTCCGCAAACTGTCTCCATAAGGTAGCATTCAAAAGAAAAGGACGGCCGGTGAACATCCGTGGAGCCGCTTCATACACGAGCTGCGCCGTCAACATGACAGCTGGGGTGTTTAGCTTCAGCTAGCTGGCAAGCTAGCAGAGAAAGCTAACGTTTAAACGCGGACTGGCTTTAAGGGTTTAACTCACGTGAATATTGTCATGAAAACACATTGGAGTCGTTTTTAGAATAAAGGAAAAACACAAATGCAACGTGACGATTGGAAATAAATGCATTATCCGTTTTTTATTTTACATCATGAGCTGCGGTTACCGTTAGCTGCTTGAATGTTAGCTTACTAGCCAAATGGAATAACAGTGTCGCTGCTCCCTGTTGAGCTATAATGACCCGAAGAGCTGATTTTATTGTTATTTGAGAAACACATCCATCTGTAGACACATTTACCAGAGTGGTTATTGTATAAATGACATTAACGACCATCCAAAATTGGGCCTCGTCAGCTTGAACCAACGTTATCGTCACTTTTTCCAGAAGCTAACGCGTTAGCGAGACCCCAACAGAAAGACAAGGATTTTAAAATAAACTCTTACCTTATTGTCACTAGCGTCCATGTCAGTCAGCCTCGCCGCCGCCGCAAACCTTCATCGGCCACAGTGTGGACGTCAGGAGCTGGGTCGTTTTAACTTCTTCATTGTAGACAGAAATGATAATAAGAGCGGTGGTGGTGGTGGTGATCACCGGGGTCTCGATGATCGGACTCCCCCTGCTAACTGTTGCTAGATGCTGCTGCGTCAGCTGGCGGAGCTCGGACCAGCCTGTGGCCGCGGAGCAAACTGCTGTCAGTGTGGAAATGGGAGTCACCTGGAACGGAAGCCGCTCGAGCCCAGAAAGCGTTGTTGTGTTTTTTCTTTCTTTTTTTTTAATTGGCTCAGAAAATGCAAGAGAGTCGTGAGTGGCTGCAAAACATCCGAGACACATGGACTGAAGTCAAACGAAAAGAAGGTGTCATCGTGGCTCGTTTATCAGTTAAAAACAGTTTTTATTCAACTCCATGTTCATCCCGTCACACAGTTTAAAGGCAGTTGAATCCTTTTAGTGCTGAGAGAAATCTGTTTATTACCAACAGTATACATTAAATACTGTGTACACGTTTTCATACACATTTGGACTTTTTTTTTTTGTTTTTGTTTTTTTTAACAGAACTGAAACGTTTGTGTGTTGCACATGGATCTGCCAATCAGGAACATGAAAAACAAAAATAAGTGTCGGTGATTTCTTCTCATCGGGACAAAACAACACACGTCTGGTGGTTCTCAAGTCTTCTTCAACTTGTTGGCATTCTTAAAACCTGTGCTGTGTGTCTTGTCTCAGAGGGTATACTGGAAGAAGCACAGTAGCATACGTTATGGATGTATTCAAACATGCCATTTTCCTTGTCTCCCGACTTTACATGCCATCATGTGAGCTTGCTAACGATGGCTTGGTTCAGAGAGTTCAGCTGATTTGTCCATTTGTCTAAAGCTGTGTAGCGAGCCCCTCCTCTCTTCTGGTAGTCCAGTTCTAGTAGCTGGTTAACTTGGTCAATTCGGCCGTGGATTGTGCTGAGAAAGAAAAGAACAGAGAGTGAGGGGCGATGCCACACCTGTTGAATATTAACTTTTCAAGTTGACGTCTCGTCTTCTGGGTTTATGGCTCATTTTTTTCATCCACAGATATTAGTTTTCTTTTTTCAGTTTTGCATCTATCGCTAGAAATATCATCAACCTGCCAAATCTCTCACGGTGAATCCTCAAGATTATTTCTTGCTGTGTTCTGACATGATTTCACTTTGACATTATGAAGAGATTTTGCTCAGGGGGCTAGAATGAGACACTCTGGAGAATGTCAGGAGATTATGAGTTCAGTGCACATCTGAAAGCAGCAAAATTTTTATTTGGCTGCTGTAATGTGTGAGAATGCAGAAAAGTAAACAAACAACATTTCTTCAGGTAGCAGTAAGACTGTACAACCTGAACTGCTCACAGTAGAACCACTCGCACACGACTGCAACGACTCAGTTCAGTGAGGGTTTAACTCACTGAACTGCAAAAAGAATTTCTGTCTGTGCAATTCAATGGCTTATGTGCAATCCATTCCTCTCTGTATGTATTCTCAGACTGTGTATATTCTGTTTACACTGTATAAATTCATTTTTAATTATCATTTATGCATTTCATACGTCCTTACATTTGTATTATAATAAGTATTGCATGTCAGGGTGTCATGAGAACCGATACTTAGGTACCAAGTTGATGGTTTTAAAACTGTCACGGTACTGTTTTGTTACAGTACAGAAGGTACCCAACAATACCGACCCGCCGCTACAGGATGGTTGCCCCCGCTGTTTCTGCATTGGGGCAGGCGCACATTATTACCCTGTCGCTTGTCTTCCCTCCTCTCTTCCCCACTCTGCACTAGTCAGAGGTTCTTGGGACCCGTGCAGTGTTTAGAGTTTGCTTTGAGTTTGTTTGGTTCGGTCTGGAGTTTATGAGACAAGTATTTAAACAGAGCAACAGAGACGTTGGACACATGTGTTCCTGCAGACGGGAGAGAAGTTTCTTGTGGGTTTTTTTTTTAAACAAGGGATTTGTATTTGTCTGCATTTAAATGAATGATATTAATGAAAAACACAATCCCATCAACATCACAGAGCATGATGGAAAAATGACTAGGTAAACATTTCTCTCAACAGTTTCAGTTCAGATGGAGTGATAGTAATCTGACATTTTTCTCACTGAAGCAGTGAGTACCAGATAACAATCAAGCAAATTATGTCACTTAAGCTGTCCTGTCATAACACCTGCCACCCTTAAGGGTCAAATGATGGCTGCTTTGAGGAAACAGCACTATTTACAGGAAGGAAGTTATTAATTCTCAGACTTCTCAGAAATCATGTGAGGGAGAAACGTACTTATCCAAGATACACTGCACCAGCAAACTCTCCACATCACACACGTCAATGTTCAGCTCCTGAAACACAACAACAAATCAGACTCATCCTCAAATCTGTAAAGAAGTAGATCAACTAGTCTGATTTAACATTAGAGTTCAACACACTGCAAGTCCTGTGGTTGACATTGTGTAAGGTGTATTAACAAAAGACCCATGGAGAAAGTAAACCATGCAAGTATGTAAAGTAAGTGTTGGAAAAAGCATTAATATCTATCTCATAAATATCTCTGCATTATTTATAGAGAGATTCAACAAAAAAACAAAAAAAAACACCCAATCTCATAATTATAAAGAAATCTCAATGAAACCACAACGTCACGTGGCCTTCAGTCACTGTGCAGGACATTTAGACTTACCTTAGAAATGAAAGGGATGTGTATTCTTGTGTAGGGTTTGATGAGTTTGATAAGTACTTGAGTTCTAATGTTCCTCAAGAGCTCTGCAACAAAACATCGCATGATCAGCCACACTTAAAAAAGACAGTACTTTTTCAACAGATTCATCAAACATGTAGACTGAGGTCCCGATGGCCACTCACCCTCTATGTGCTCTCTAATGAAGGGGTCGTCCATTATGTTACTGTGATTTGTTTTCAAAATTTTCTCAAATTCAGTAATGTCATTGTTCTGGTAGGCGCTGGAAAGAAAAACAGCCAGTGTTGTTATAGTGTATACATTGTGTCTCCGTGACCCACTGAACAACTCTCATCCAAACACATCGAAAAATATCAGACTTGTATGTAAACACTATTCTTATTACAGTTTTGGGTGTGGATTCCTGGCTCCGAAATAACTAGGCAGGCATTATAAGATGTGTTGATCTGCACACACCAAGCTGTTAGTACTAATATGCAATTTGGACAAAGGGAATGAGAAGCCCAGCAGAAATGCTGACAGATGGCATTAAAGTTAAGAATCTATGTCAGAGATAAATAATCCATTCAAAACATAATTTACATTATGTGTACATTTGTATGATCTCAGCCGTCAACAATAACATGACACCCCTCATCAACTCGATTGTGACATGAAGATGCACAGTCAAGTGCCCAATGCCGAGTATGAAATGTTACAACATATAGAGGAGAATAATTGTGTTATGAACAGATGCCATCTTACCTAACTGCATGCTTACCTTACTAAGTTTGTCATTGCTAGGATCTCTGGGTCATTTTTGTATGGTTTGGCCTTTGGAAAAAAAATAGGAAGAAAAATAGAAATGGAACTTAAAAATGTAAGAAAATGTTCAGTAATTGAGCACAAAACCCTTCATGTTCATTCAGCAGTTCATTCTGATTACACACATTTGACCTGTGCTTTATCAAAATTGCAGGCTGCAAACTCCCCCGTTTCATATTCTTGCATACAAGGAATGCAGTGCATGCTAAAGTAAACATGTAAAACAAATTTCCTACCTCTTGAGAGTCAAAAGGGTTTATTCCTGACTTCATCAACATGTTGGCTAAGACCAGGTACTTCAGGCATGTTGTCCTTCTTGGGCTTCCAGACTCATCATAGTTTTTAAAGGCCTCAAAGAAGTCTGTGTGAGCTTTCTCAAACTCCCCCTCTCTCAGGTGCATCTTCCCACCACACTCTGGTTGGGAGCAAACAAGCACAAGTCCTTTAGCAAACAGCCATAACAGTACTTAACACCACACAAAGCTGTATGTACACCATCGCACCTCTGATAACTCCCATGATGAGCGGGTGAGGAATGGCAGATTTAATGTGAAGTGACTGCTCATACAGGGCTTTCAATTTCTTGTTGTTTTTCTGTGCTGTGTACATCTGGATCTCCAGAGCATAGATCTCCAACAGCTGTGTGCCTTTCTTCAGGTCATCCTCCCCATCATCTGTCTGTAGTTGATACAAAAACAGAGCAATCACCTATTAGATACTTGAGGCAAATATTCATATCAGTTTAAAGCAAGATGTCATTGCATATTCAATCCAAAAAAATTGCCCAATTACCTGACATGACTGATGAAGTTGCCTCAGGATCTTCTGCAGTTTCCCATACTCTTCTCTCTCCAAGTACAGCTTCCCCAACTGCAGCAGAGGAACAAAAAAATAACATTTCTGAGCAAATGTCTTCCAGGGAAATGATAAAGTGAGATCAATTGGAAACAGTGAAGAATTGTTGTGTACCTTTGTGTTCGTTTTAAACCACAGTCTGTCATTTTTTGCATCTTTCAATGCCTCAAGTGTGGTTTCATAAAACTCCTGTAGCAAGTCCATCTAGTAAGATAGGAAACACGATTAAGCATTTCAAATAGTTGATTCTCCAAATTTCTAGGACCCAACACATGAAACTGTCAGCTGGATTTGACTCTGTCTCATGTTTATACCTGTTTGGAGGTAGAGATATAGTCCAGAATGGAGTTGATAGACTTCTCTGAGTAGTTCCTGGTGACAGCACTTCTGATGTATGTAAGGAGCTGCTTGTACCGGTTCATCATCTCTGGAAAGTTGGTCTGCAGGGTCAAAGTACAAGAAAACAACAATCACTCATAACACAACAATTCAGTCTACCGGCACATGTTGCACAGCATACCAGCTTGAAGTTGATCTTGATCATCTGCTTCAGTGCTTTGAATCCCCATTCTCCTTTCTCTCCCTCCAGCTCCAACACCTGAGCAAACCACAGGTTCGAGAGATGTCAACACAAGTCATATCAGACACACACAGACAGACAACATGTTGTGTTAAGGGACACCACCACTCCACCTTCTGGAAGCTGCTGAGTGCTGCTTTGGGATCATCCTCCTTCAAGGCTTTTGAGTTGTAGTACTGGTTCTCGAGGTCCACGTTTGGCTCCGAGTTACTGTCCTCTGAGTATTCCTGTTGTTGGAGCACATGCACGTTCGTGAATAAAACACACCAGCAACTCTGAGCTAGCTAACACAGGGCTAATCGTAGCAAACAAAGTCTTACTGTCACTACATCGGCTTGTTAACCAGCTTGCGGTTGATGACTGAAAAACGACACATAAACGGCTAAAAGCACAAACCCTAATCTAGCTTCCCGGCTCGCTTGCTGTGTATTAACATTAGCCTGGTACCTAGCAGCGATAGTTACTGGCCGTTAGCCTCCTAGCTGGCTAACGGCTGTCCCCCGCTCTCAGCTTGATATTAGCCAACAGGCTAACTAGCTAAACAGCTAGCCCAGCCCGCACTGTGCAGTTAGCGCCCAGCGAAACACAAACATGGAGGTTCCATTTGAATTCAGCGGTAAGTACCAGGTCGTAATCTTCCTCGTCGTCGCACATGAAATCGTCTTCCATGTCAGACATCTCGGCGATGTAGCTTATCCCTCGGCGGAGACAGACGCTGGCCCCGGCCTGTGCTGTGTTTGGCAGCGGCGGTGAGAGGACGGTGTGTCAGGCTGGGCTCAGAGGCGCAGGAGCCGCTTCACGTCCATAGATGGCGCTGTTGGATCGTCTCAGATAATAACAAGCTACGACTTTAAAACAGGTTTCGCCAGCTGCAGTGATCCGGATGTAGAAGTGTGATATTTCTATAAGATCTCTCTTATACAAGTTTTCCTGCACGAAGAAGTATGACTTTTCTATAATATGTCTTTTTATATTAATTTACCTGGTTGTAGAAGTGTGATATTTCTATAAGATCTCTTTTATAAATGTTTACCTGCATAGAGAATAATAATATTTCTATAAAAAATGATATACATTTACTTGCAATATGTAACAGTGGAGGAAAGTTGCTAAGTAGTTTTACTCAAGTAAAATGTATAAATTTGGCCTCAATTTATACATTCTTACTATATTTTAATCTGACATCTGCAGTTAGTAGTTATTTGCCAGATTATACAAGATTATAAATTATATTATTGTATATTATGTTATTAATAATAATAAATAATTTACATATATGTAAAAAAATGAATACAAAAAAACACCAATAATCTTCTGCATCCAGATGCAAATTTTACAGATCAGTGATAATAAAATGATTTTTACTCTGCTGCTTAACAAGAAGATGACTGTTGATAGTTTAGGTACTTTTTTGATTAATTTTGAATATAGGACTTTTAATGTAATGAATATTTTTCCATTGAGACAGTGGTGTGATTGGAATCAACTATTTAATTTGAGTAAAAAATATCTTTAGTAACGTTTCAAGTAACATGATGATAGATAGAGCTTATCAATATCAACCACTACCTCAGAAACTGTAGCGGGAATACATTCAATGACAAACCAGAAATAAGCAGAGAGCGCTCACACAAACACAAACACTGCACACCTGCAATGAACCCAGAGTGCTTAAGGGTCTGAATCTGACTCACTGAAGGTGTGAACAGTTTCCAAAAGCTAAGTCAATAGGCAGGTCAAGCTCAGTGCTTCCCTCAGAAGTGTGGAGTAGATCATTTTTCAGAATATAGGACAAGATGGTGAATATCCCTTGTAGGTTACTGTGAAATTGCTCCAAAATATTCTTATATAGAGAGCTTGAGTAAACGTGTTCATTTCCACCACTGGAAATATCCCATGAACTCCTGTGTGAACCAGACTCTTGTAAGATGGATTTTGCAAGAATGTCTTGGCCACACAGAGACCATCGGCATGCGTCACATCCCTCTACGGCCTCACTGTGGGTCATCCCACATGCAACCATATGAAAGATTTTATTACTGAAGACTTTACTTTACTGTTCCGAAAATTCACGCAATCGGCTTTTGTGTCAGCAAGTTATGTCTCATAGGTTTATTTCCAAAAAGTGATGAGAGGGGGTCAAAAACACAAGTCCATCATCCTACGTTGTCACTGTGGCCATAATATTTACAATATTCAGACATGAATCACCAACACTGATTCTGGAGGGGAGAGTGGATTCACACACTGACGTGTAACTTTAAAAGCAATAAGAAGTGTCACAGACAGTGCACGCTCCTCACTCATATTATCTTTTATGTGTGCACTGACAGATTTATTGCATCTCTTACATAAAGCCATGCTGCGGGTGTCGACTGGTTTCACAAAGAAACATGCAAATATTCTAATTGCTCTGCATCAGAGCTGGTGACTCATGCACACCCATTTGTTGCATGTGTAAGATGCATCATTCATTCGCGGCGGTGCGTCCACTGCATCAACAACAAAGTCTGAACAAATAAGCAGTGCTTCTCTACCGGAGTCAACAACACCAAAAACAAGCTGTTGATCTGAGACAAAAGACACGTGGGTGCTGGTAAACCCTGATTTGTCATCACAACATCCTCACACCCCCCTGAAATGACACGGAATATAACTGGAATTACACCATTGTAGCCACAGATTGATTTATCTGTCGACACATTCACAATCTCTTTTATCTCACAGTGTTGGTGGGGAGATGTTGCTGTACTTGACGTGCACGGGAAAACCCTCCCAGCCCAAGCATCTAACAGACACACTTAGTGCCAAAGACTTTTATTTATCTGACTGTGCCAGGGAGATAAACACAAGTTCATCAAACCAACTAACCTTATGAAGAGATTGAAAAGAGTGGCACAAAGCCTTATAAACACCTTCAAGAAGCCCCTCTTCTTTCAGATAATCTCTGATGATTCATTTGATAAAATTAGTACATTTATATTATTCCTTTGGCTTGAATGTATACACTGGGTTTTATAATCCGTTTAATCTTTGGTTGCCAAAAACTGTTTTATGCCGAACCTAATAACCTTAATAGAGTTAATATAATCTAGTTTCTGACAGTTCCTTAAACATGAGACAAGGGTCTTCAATATATCTCCAGCGTGGCATCTGGCAGCATAAGCCTATGTACCTCTCTCAGCGGGCTGTCGGCTTGTATACTCTACATAAATGGCTCTCACCACTGAAGCTCTCACACAAGGGTGCTAATCCTTTTTGTACTGCCGCCAACTCCCTTTAGATCATTACTCATGCACGCACACAAATGCACACGCAGGCACACACATAGTTATTCATGTCATGTATATACAGTATATTTATGCTCTAATATACACACCTGCTTGATCATGTGTGCCTGTGCATGCACATAATATTAAATGCCCTAAAAACCTGCACAGTTGCCAGCCTTGTACAACCTACCCTGAGGTCATCAAAGCTGTTCTCACTTCTCAACTTGTGCAAGATGCGTGACTAGCCGGTTTGTTTTTCTCTTTTTATTTTTTTTGTTGCTGTTTTCATTTTTACAAGGTATGTAAAAGCGTGTCTCTATTTTATGCAACAACTTCCATCAAGTGGGGGTGTTATTACAGATGAAATCCAATTTCCAAGAGCTGAAACAGCCGCTGAAGCCAAGTCCACACGCACGCCTCCTGCATCACACGCTAGCATAATGTGGTATGTGTGTGGTATGTGGGCTGGGGTTTCGTGTTTTTTTTCTTGAGTTTGTCTGCATTATAAATGAATTGAGGTCTGAAAAACATTTTTTCTAATTTGGGTTAGCTTGTGGATACAGTGCTCAGGACAAATCAATTAAGGATCAATTAGCAATTTGTGTTAGAATAAATATGCAAAACTCCAAATTAGAAGATACTGACATTTTGGAACATATGCTTTTTAATCTTCTTGACAAGAGTTAGAGGAGAAGAATAATGTCACTCTCGTGTCAGTACATGTCTTAACATAAGGACTGGAAGCAGGGACAAACTATCCTGGCTCTGAGCAAAGGGGGAAAAACTATCTATCGGCACCCCTACAGCTCACATAACACACTAAATCATGTTTGTTTAATTCGTGCAAAAACCTTGGTGTAAAATCAAAACTTAGTTTTACAGAGGGGTTATGTTTCAGACTATTTCTTGGCCAGCTGTAGAAACTGTGGCCCCAAGACTCTTGAATGTAACTGCAAATACCTGTTTCTTATTATGTTGCACTACTCCTTTAAGGATGACATTCAGCACCCATTTAAAGACGTAACAAATGTGATATCAGACATATTTGTGGTTACTGTCAACTGAGATTCTTTTAACATTGTTTAAACCATCTCACACAATCATTGATTTAATAAAATGACTTGCTTGAAGACAAGGGACGATGGCATGTGTTAATTATTCTTTCATAACTGCAGACATGTCACGAAATGTCCAGTCAGCCAAAGCTTTCCCTGCACCACAGAGCACCAGAATAACCCTCCCTCACTCGTTGATGTGACTTCCCCTTTCGACAATGGCAGGCTAACAGCTCTGAGCTGATGTCCTGTTTTTATTATTCTCTTTGGCAGATGAAAATAAAAACAGATGTCTGGCATTTAGGTCACGTCTTAGATGCACAGTGCAGGAGGGGTCTCTGTGAAATACCCTATCACCCCTCCTGCCCTCTCCTTTCTCTTCCTCCTCTGCCGCTTCACGTCCCCTCCATCTCGCCTGGTGCATTCATGCCTTTGGGTTTGGTTTTAGAAAATCAAAGTAGGAGACAGGGTATATTTAGATGCTCTTACATATTTAAAATGCCATGGCTGAAACTATGGGACTGGTGGTTTCCTCTGTCAAATTCATTCAAAGCAACAGAACCACATTCAGCTCCAGCCTGACAGACTATTCCCTTTAATCTGCTTCAGAATTACTGAACTTTACAATTTCGAATTGGGTGCAGTGCATACAGCCCAAGTCCAATTGTTAGAGAAGGTGATTTGTGAATCCAGCTCAGATAACGTCAATATAATGTCACAGCCTGGCTGAAAAGGCCATTACAAAGGTGGGAGACACGCCATTTTCAAGGAAAAGGATTCACTTATCAAACAAACCATGTGTGCAAGTGTTGCAAGTGCTTGAAAACAAAATTAAAGAACAGAACTAAAACAATAGAGCAGGGGTGGGGAACCTCTGGCCTCTTGGCCGATCACGCCTGTCAGACAGTTTGATCCAGTCTGGGAGTTGCGAGGAAAACCATGAATACTAAAAAAAAGGAAAATTCAGAATTACAAAACGAAATTCTCATGGCAGCAATCAATTTTTTCTGTGATAAAAGAAAACAACACATTTTAGATTAACACGGCCTTCAGGGTGGTCTCTTCTTGTTGAACACTTTGCGGGTCATGGTGAACACACACGTGGCTGTTATGTGTCAAGTATTATTACGACATTACAAAAAAACAAACACAAAATTAGAGGCAGAATGTTGCAATTTTCAAGACAAATTAACAAATTATTTTCATTTTTCATTGAAGGAAAACACCATTTGCCATAGTTTGAAACGATCACAGAAATCAAAGAGCATTGGTGAGAGTGATTACAGCTCAAAACATTCTTAACTGGATGAGTTGCAAAGACAAATACTTTTGGAAAGATTGATATGAGAGCTAAGTAGAAACATTTATTAAACAGGGTGTTGTTGATGTTAAATATCTCAAACCTGAATTATTCTAGAAATCAGTCGAGGGAATTTACAGCATGCTGATGATGTTTCTCAGAATGTCCATTCACCCATTATAAGACTCTGGTTTCCTGTGTAGT